ACTTATTGAGGGGTGGGTCTAAATTATGTCTAAGAGGCCCCTTATGTCTGCGGACTAAGGGAGACTTTCCTTTGTGGCCCCTGACTTGGGGAAGTGCCCCAAATGCTTGTACTGCGTCGAGTACCCGTTGGACTATTAGGCCTGTGTTTCCCCGAGGACACAGAGCTTAAGGGGGTCCCCCCTCAGGGTTGTGGCAGCTTACGTTACCCCCGGACTCTGTGGTGGGGCTGAAAGGGGGTCTGCCAGGGCTTAGGTGCCCCTGGAGAGACACGTGGAGTCCAGAAGGTGGGCTGGTGTAGTGAGGTGGGAGGCTCAATGCAGGAGCTCCCCCTACTGGCCTGCCACAGTCTCCAACCTGCCCCAGATGGAATGGAGCTTGCTCCGGGCATCATTGCTTGAATAATGCCAGAGAGTTTATTTTTATAGCCAGCACCATTAAATGGCAAACACCACATCCCCCCAGGAAGCCTGCCACTGGGGAGAACAGGGCCCCCGTGCTTGCCTTGGCTTCAGTGTCCTTATTGGTGCCATCCTTATTGGTGCCATCCAGCTCACAGGCCTTGTAGTACGGGGGACTGGGGCTGCTCCACCCAGCTTCTGTGCAGTTCCGTTGTATTAGACCTGTAGCAATGAAGGGAAGTTCTTATAATGGCCTTTGCAATAGAACCCACCCCAGAGCCCAACACACCAACCTCGGCTCCAGCACCCCAGCCTCCCTCTGAAAGGGCTTTGTGGCAAGGGGGCCCTTGTGCTTCTGCTCTAAAGGGATCTGCTCATAGTTTCAGGTTTTCAGCAACATCTCTGAGGTTCAGCACAACATCCTGGGAGCCTGGAGAAGATGGACCCTGCTCTAGGCAGGGCCAGGGAGAAGGATTTGGAGGGTGACCCACCTCCTTCTCAGCAGATCAGTACCAAAGAACCCCCACGGTCTCCTCATTGTTAGTTGTTTCTGCCCCCGGTGAGGCCTTACAATGGAAGATCTGGTGCTGGTTATATAGGGCCTGGACTCCATCACTGCTGATAATGGGGGGGCTAAGGGCTCCTCACAAATAGTATGGCTACTAAGGGACAGGACATGAGTGTTGAGGTGGTGGGAAGAGAATGAGGCCACTGCTGAAAGCTGTAGAGGATCCCCTACAAAGTGCAGGGAAGAGGAACTGTATTTGAAGTCAAAATGCATCCCCTCCTCCCCCAGGGCATGGGGTACAGTTTTCTGCCTGGAGGGGGTATCTCTGCACCAGGCCCAGCGTGTGTACACCACACAGCTCCATCATCAATGGGCAAAGGCCCTTTTCACCTCAGTCTCCAGCTGCTGGCCAGGGGCTCAACATGTCCTTCTGCATGGAACCATCCAAGGCCCAGTCCCTGCCCTACGGCTGGTATTTATCAAAGCTTCTTAACATTTGCAATTACATGCACAGAGCAAAATACTTGTTTGCCTCTTAGGCTGTTCAGTTGATTTTCTTTGCACTCTGATGACTTCAAATTGGATGAAAGTAGAACCTTGCTTGGCTGCTGTTAAAGTCCAATGTGGGAGAACTGCTTTACTGCCATGAAAGAATGGCACTGAAATATCAGTCACTGTGCCTCTACAAAGCAGGTCACCACCATGAAACCAGTCTACAGATGGGGAAACTAAGGCACAGTTACTGTGCCTTAGTATACTTCCTTAGATGGGGGGGTATCTAGCCTGGGGTCACCCACCAACAGAAGCAGAGTCTTCTGGATCCCAACCAACTATTATGTTCACCTGCCCACACTACCTTCTTTCAGGAACTCCTCTACAGAAATGCCCAGGTCACCTCAGCCCAGTGACTACAGAAGCCCAGACCCAGAGAGCAGCAGGGACTGAGCATGATGCCAAGTTGGGAGGAAGCACAGGCACTGCTTTTGGGTGGCTTCTGCCATCAGACCCTTCTGGCGCCTGTCATGATAACACTTGGGACACTTTTCCTATAGGCCTACTATTAAAGTCAAACATCTGTGCTGTGCCTTTAAGATGGGGTCAGGTATCCAAGTTGTAGCCGTTTTGCTCTAGAGGCAAAAGGAATCAGAGCTCATGGTAGAAGTGATATTTTTTTATTAGACAAACTAGATTTTTGCGAAGAAATTTTTTTTTTTTTTTTTTT